ATGGGAGTAGCAGTCAAGAAATCAAATGACCTATTGCAGTAGGCAAATCTGCGGCACAAGGCTTCTTTAAAGCATTTAAGAACAAAGATATCAGTTTGAGGAATAGGGTACACCTGATTCACGCCATGGTATTTTCAGGAACCTAATATTCATGTGAAAGTTGGACAATCAGTAAGGAATACCATAGAATTGATGCATCTGAGTTATGGTGTTTGAGGAGAATATTAAAAGTACTGACTGAGGAACAAGCAAATCTGTATTAGGAGAAGTATAGCCAGAATGCTCCTTAGAAGCCAGGATGGCAAGACTACCTGTACTCTCATACTTCAGACCTATTATTGGGAGGGACCAATCCCTGGACAAAGACATCATGTTGGTAAAGAGTGAAAAAAAGGAATGGGCTCAAGTGTAGCAACAATTGTGAGAATGGTGCAGGGCCAGTACAGAGTTGCTCTGTGTCAGAGCCTGCTTTCCCTAACAATTACAACAACAATATCATGATAAATGGAGAAAAGATTAGAATTGCCAATTATTTCATTTTACTTTAATCTATGATTCACTCATGCAGTAGGATAAGCACTGCACTACTAACCATGAGTTTGGTATTTAAAATATAATAGTTGCTTGGAATGAGTCAAAACTGGCTTGATGGCACTTAACAACAACAACAATTGCATTGGTCAAATATGCTGCAAAAAAATATCTCTTTACAATGTTAAAAAAAAGATATGCCATGGTATTTTCAATCACTCTCACTTGTATGGGAAAGCTGGATAATGATTATGGAATACTGAAGATGAATTGATAACTTTGAATTGTGGTGTTGATGAATAATATTGAATGAATCATGGACTTTGAGAAGAATGAACACATCTGTTTTGAAAGAAGTATAGACAGAACTCTTCTTAGAATCAAGGTTGGAGAGACTTCCTTTAATATAGTTTGGACATGCTATCAGGTGGAACCTGTCTCTGGAGAAAGACATCATGCTTTATAGAGGGTCAACTAAAAGTAAGAAGACATTCAATGAGGTAGAATGACACAATGGGTTCAAGCACAGTGATCAAGGATGGTGCAGGAACAGTAAATGCTTTGTTCTGTTGTATATGAGGCCATTTTTCAGTCAGCACCAATTCAATGACACCTAACAACTTTGGTTACTCAATGTAATGGAAATAAAAATTCTCACCACTGAACAAATAAATAACATTATAATAAATGGAGAAAAAACTGAAGTTGTCAAAGACTTCATTTTGCTAGGATGAACCATCAATACTCATGGAAGCAACAGTCAAGAAATCAAGTGACATATTGCATTATGCAAATCTGTTGCACAAAACCTCTTTAAAGTGTTGAAGAGCAAACATATCAATCAGTTTGAGGACTAAGATGTGCCTGACCCAACTCATGGTATTTTCAATAACCTCATATGAGTGCTAAAGTTGGACTGTAAATACGGAAGACCATAGAACTGAAGCATTTGAATTATGGTGTTGGAAGAGAATATTAAAAGAACCGTGGACTGCCAAAAGAACAAACCAATCTGTGTTGGAAGAAGCACAGCCAGAATGCTCCCTGAAGACAGCATGGCCAGCTTTCTTCTATCATAGGCCAGACATATTATCAGGAGGAACCAGTCCCTAGCCAAGGAAGTCATGTTTGGTAAAATGGTAGGTCAGAGGACAAGAGGAAGACCCCAAACAAGATGTAATAACTCAGCGGCAACAGCAATGGGCTCAAATGTAACAAAGATTGTGAAATTGGTACAAGACCAGGCAGTATTTCATTCTGTTGTACATAGGGTCATTATGAGTCTGTACCGACTCAATGGCACCTAACAACAACAAATATGGCAACTGAAATCCATTTTACATCTTAGCTTATTGGGGCAAAGTAACTGAGTTCATGGTCTCAGATTATAATATTGTTGTTAAGTGCAGTAAAGTCAATTCCGACCCATAGCGACACTATATAGGGTTTCCAAGGAGCAGTTGGTGAGCTTGAACCACTGACCTTGCAATGCAAATGACTTTGCAGTCTAATGCATTAGCCCACAGTGCCACACCAGTACTCCTATGATGGGGGAGGTAAAGGTGAATTGGCAAACTTATTCAGTCAGTATATTCATTTTAGGAATTACCCACAAAATATATTTATTAACTTCATAAAACAGAACCAGGTAGCATTCAAAAACATAAAGTAGATGAATGTAGGTGAGAATTTGGCCACTACTACAATATACCTGTGCACTGCAGGGAACTATTTTCCATATTTTAATATAGATTTCTATATAGTTTCTCTTTTGCCACCATATTGTTTGCAAGTTTGTATTTGATGCATAGAATCTAACTCTCCATTTCCAATAGATTCAGAGTGAGAGGGATGCAGTGAAAAGGGGAGACAAGGCAAATAGAATAAATAAGGAAGCGCTGGTTTTTAAATTGTACAGTTAGTGAATTGGAATATTGAGTGTATAGTAAAGATTATAGGTGAAGGGTAAGACCTCTTATCATAATAGAAATAGAATGTGTGAAGTCAGAACATACTGGGCTTTTGGTTGCCAAGAACTTACAGAGGAACAGACAAAATAAAGACTGAATATATAAAGACACTATTCTGACATATTCTGATGACAAAAATAAGGTGATTTATGTACAGTATGGCCAAGTGTCAAGGGGTATTTCAGACTTGTGTTTGTGAAAACTGGATGCTGCTGACAGGTTTTTTTACTCCCCGTGTTTGGTCGAGTCAGTATCATGAACAACATGCTGGCTCATCAACATTGTTTTGACTGATCTATTCATCAACACCGTTGCCTAGATAGACACACAGTAAGGGAATAAAGATGTTCACTATTCTGTTTGTCTCTGATGTTTGGATTGGTTCATTAGCCTTCATATAACTCCCGTAAGGATTTACACCCTCGGAAACCCTGTACAGGGTCGCTATGGGTCGGAACCGACTTGAAGGCACTTAACAACAACAACAAATCCAAAAAGAGAGGGCCTTTCCAGAGGAGAGGAACGGAGCAATTTGTCATTCATTAGAAGGCCCATCACTTTAGAGTAGTAATTTCTTAATTGCTCACTTTAGGGCAGTATTAGCTTCACCTAGAAGTCTGGAATGAGAAATGAACCTCCAAAGGTGAGCACTTCATTTTTCAAATTTAATATTCAAAGCAATATCATCATTGTTTAGAACATGATTTTTCAACCTTGGCACTGTTGACATTTTATTGTAGGGGATTTTGCTGTGCATGATAGTTTATTTGGCAGGATGCCTGAACTCTTTGTACTTGATACCACTAGTACTCCCCTTCACTTGGTTGTGACAATGAAAAGTGTCTCCAGACATTGCCAAATGTTCCCTCGTGTATGTGTGTTTGTGAAAATCTTTCCTAGCTGAGAACTACTGTCTAAAGCATTAAAGTATCAAACAACAACATCACTTTATGCATATACTGTCAGCACTTTATTTTATGAATTAAGGTATATGGAAAGAGAGATTTGGTTAATATTTTTGTTGTTAAGTGTCATCAGGTCAGTTGATTCCAACTAATAGCAACCTTGTATAGGGTTTCGGAGACTTAGATCTTTGCGGGAGTCTTATCTTTCTCCTGTGGAGTGGCTGGCAGGCATATCTTGTGGTAAACAATCCAGTGCTTATCATTTAGAGCCAACATGCTCCCTGGTTACTATTTAATGGTAGTTTAATATTTGGCCAAATTTGGGAAACAGTTTGGGATTTTCTTCTCAAAATATTTATTATACAGCCAGAATGCTCCTCAGAAGCAAAAATGATGAGACTTCATCACACGTATTTTGGACATGTTAAAAGGAGGGACCAGTCCCTGGATAAAGGCATCATGCTTAGGAAAGTAGAAGACCAATAAAAAAGGGCCAGACCCTCAATGAGATGAACTGACACAATGGCTGCAATAATGGGCCCAAGCATACAACGATGATGAGAAGGGTACAGGACCCGTCAGTGCTTCATTCTGCTGTACTTTGGGTTGCTGTGAGTCAGAAATGATTCAACAGCCCTTAACAACACCAACATAATTTATCACCTATATAAAACTTTAAAAACTATACTTCACACTGAATGTGTAAATAACTACATATGAGAGCACACATTTACTCATTTTTAATACGTCTACCTTGTGGATCTTTAGCTCCTTTCCAGACTGGGTTATTTATTTTTTCCTTTTTTCAAGTTTTCATTATAATTACACCAGGGAAAATGTTACCTGTCATTAATCAAAACCAGACAATGACCATGACAAAGGGCTAGCATGAAGAAATATGACTTTTAGAAATTCCTGGAGGGAAAACAAAAATTGATTAGGGAAAAAGTTCACTGAGTTTTGTTGAAAGGTGAAAAAGATTGAGAACAAATAAGGGGCATACCAAACAATTATTTTGTACATGGTTTATCTAGGGATATCAAATGTTGAAGTCTACAGAAATATAAAGTTGTGTAACAAATTCAGCATCAGAGGTATTTAGAAAATATAATGCACTGCAAGGTCTAAAAATTCTCTGAAGACCTGTGCAAAGTAGAATGGTTATACAGTCAAATATAAAAAAATAAAATATAAGTGGAGCAATCTTGATGGTAGCATAAAAAGTTTATGCCTCCAGACTCTGTATATAAGTGGTATTTCCTCTGATAGTTATTTCTAGAATTCTCTTGCCCACTGTCTAATATTTTTAAAAAGAAATTTCATACAAATTTCAAAAATATTTTTCTTTATTCCTGAGGGTTTCACAATCTTGTTTTATCCCAGTGTGTATTTCTATAATAATTCCTAGCTAACATTTCTCTCAGTTTTGTGAAACCAGATAATCCAGCTATTTTAACAGTATTTTACTGTTCCCATTAAGGCATCTTCAATACATTATCTGAGATACTGTAATTTTGGTCTACCTTTAGAGTGTAGAGTTAAATTTGAGAGTGACATTGTCATTTGTAATTAGTTCAGCAGTTCTTGAACTTACCTTGCTATCACAAAGAGTACACAGCTGACTCCCAGGCAGGCCAAGAGCACATACATCCAAATATCCGGTGACAGAGGGTTGAGGAAGGAGAAGACACCTGGATTTGTACCATTGGGCTTCCGGTAGAGAATGCTGATACCCAAGGTCATGAAGGGCTTAGAGAAGTCAATGACTTTCTCCCGCACATAGGTGATGGTAAGAGGAGCCACAGCCAGGTCAGCCCTCTACAAAAGCAAGCCAGAAGTCATTACCTTAGTGGTCTAGCTTCTCAGCAAATTTCTGAGCTTTCCCTGAGCACAATGATCTCTATTCTCAACTTCTAAAGCTTCTTACACTCTGGGTAATGTAAATCATTAAGCACTCAACTACTAGTAAAAAAAATTGGAGGTTCAAGCTCACCATATGTTGCCTGGAACATAGGCCTGCCCATCTATTTCCAAAAGGGTTCAGCTTTGAACATCCTATGCAGCAGTTCTAGTTCTTAAATGCACACCTAGGGTTGCCATATGTTAGAAATGATTCAATGGCAATTAACAACAACAACAACAATGCTACTTATGCAAGAAGTTTCGTGTGATGATTGGGTTTAATACAAAAGATTGGATTTAAATAGTTATGTTTATTAATTCAATATTTACTAGCAAAGAGAAATCAAAAGGCATAAATATATGTATTTGTGAAAATGAGGGAGTTTCATGAAAATAATGAAAATTTTCCAGACTTTTTGAAGTTCCCTTATATATGGTGCATACACACACACATACATACATACACATGAACCTACATAATAAATTCCTTAACCTATGAATAATGGACATTTTTTCCTACTACCATAATATATTTGCTCTTATTGTTGTTATTTAGTGCTGTTGATTCCATTCTGACTCAGTGCAGCCCTGTATAGGGTTTCTGAGGAGCAACTGGTAGATTTAAACCACTGACATTGTGGTTCAAACTAAACTTGTGGTCCAGTGCTTATCCTACAGCACCACACCAGTCTCTATAGAGACTCTTAAGTAACACTGAGTTGGTTCCAACTCATAGTGATCCTGCATAGGCTTTCCAAAGAGCAGCTAGTGGATTTAAACGGCTGATTTTGTAATTATCAGTGCTGTTTTCCACCACATAAAGACTCCATGGAATCCCATGCAGATGATTAACACACATACATACATGCATACAAAGGAAAAAAACCATAGGAGGAATTCTTTAAGAGGGGCATGTGTGTATCATGGTCTCAGTAGATGGAAAGATGATATTTCACTTTGAGCTGAAAACTTTAGGAGTTCTTTCTCTAACTTAAGAATTACTCAGGCTTATTCTTCTGCTGTGCATAAGGTCTCTATGGGTCGGTACTGACTCGATGGCACGTAACAATAACAGTAAATTTTTCAACATAATGGATGGACTTATACCTTTTTATCCTCAGATTTCAACAGAGCTTCTAGACTAAGAGAGTCTAAGAAAAAATGTTATCTCTGAAAATTACCCTGTGAACATCCTTTGGCTCACTGCAGTCAGTTAATATCTGACATGGTACTGGAAGATGAGCTTCATAGGTTGGAAGATACTCAGACTACACAGTGGCCTCAACAATGAACTCAAGCATACCAGTAATTGTGAGGCTGACACAAGCCTGGGTAATGTTTTGTCCTGGTGTATATGGGGCCATCAGGAATCAGAACCCACATGCTGAACTAATATGGCTCAAATATATTTAAATTTACTCTGACTCTGACTGAAGTGTCCCTCTTTTATTTCCTCTTATTTATTATACAGACAAATGTGCCTCATATTTAGGAGATACAGTTTGCTTACATGATCTATGAGCTCTTTGACCATCCCATTCCATTCTCCTTTGTCATTCTGGGCTCCATATTTGCCATCAGGAACTAGTTTGACATCATAAATGAAACCAAGGATGCTTGACAATTCCTTCAACAGATCCAGGCAATATCCTTCAAATCTGTCATTTCCATAAAGGGGCTTATCAGACTTCCTGTACATCACATACGGTTCTTCCTATATAAAACAAACCAAATATGAAAACACTGTTACAAAGAAAGCCAGAAAGTACTTACAAAGTTCTACTAGCAACTTGAAAATAATTTTTAATATTTGAAAATCTTCAACTCAGTCTTGAACTCCTTGTCTTTGCTGATTTCATCTTCTCTGCGCCCTTTGCAAATGTAGACACTTTTTGTATCCGTTTTTTCTTTCTCTTTACTTTATCTCTTTGGATGGGAGAGTTTTATTCCAATGCAGGGGGAGAGGGACCATAGTGCTGGGAGTGACTGTTGGGATAAAGAAGCACTCATGTTTTGACTTTAGGTCTGAAGACAGGGCAGGGCATAAGGAAGTATGTATTGCACTTTGTCTAGTTGACCTAATCTCCTTCTTGGCATTCATCTAAGTACCTTGACTACTTAAAAAATGAAAATGCATATTAACAAATAGATTTTTTCCTTCCTCATATAAACTTTATACTGCATAATCTTATTTCCTCATATTCCAGATAAATTTCATCTCATTTTCATTATTCACATATCACTATATCTTTGTTTGATTTATTTTAGGGTGTCTTATTCAAATGACCATTCCTGTATCATCTTTTATCATAAGTCCCATTTTATTACTTAAAATAACCTTAAATTTCATATCTGATAATTCTCTGCTTACACACTTATATAATAAATTCCTAAACCTATGAATAATGGACATTTCTTCCTTACTACCATAATATATTTGCTCTTATTGTTGTTGTTAAGTGCCATTGAGTCAATCTGGACTCATTGCAGTCCTGTATAGGGTTTCTGAGGAGCAACTGGCAGATTTAAACCACTGATATTGTGGTTCAAACTAAATTTGTGGTCCAGTGCTTATCCTACAGCACCACACCAGTCTCTATAGAGACTCTTAAGTGTCGTTGAGTTGGTTCCAACTCATAGTGATCCTGCATAAGTTTTCCAAAGAGCAGTTGGTGGGTTTGAACTGCTGACTTTGTGATTATCAGTGCTATACTTTTCCTACAGCACCACATAAAGACTCCATGGAAACCCATGCAGATGATTAACACACTCTGCTGCTAAGTGAGAGGTTGCAAGTTCTATCTAACCCGAGTTACCTTGGAAGAAAGACCCGGAAGTTTCCTTCCAAAAAGTTAACCTTGAAAACATCATGGAGCACAGTTCTACTCTGATATATATGGAATCACCATGAGTAAATATCAATTCAACACAATTGCTTTGTTTTTTAGGTTGACCACGATCTATGGCATTTTAAAATTCTTCTCTTGCCTAAAGGAATCCTGGTGTGGTGTTGTATGATAAACACAGGACTTCTAACCACAAGGATATTGGTTCAAACCCACCAGCTGCTCCTTAGAAACACCATGAAACTGACTCAGTGGCACTTAAAAACAACAACAATCTCACCTTAATGAAAGATGAACTTATTTTTAAAAAATAATAATACTTTTTATACTATTGATGAGTCTTTGGGTAGTGAAAATAGTTAAAAACTTGACTACTAGGCAAAGATTGATGACTTTGAACCTACCCAGAGGCAACTTGGGTTAGAATGTATTCAATGGCATCAGGGTCCCATATATCTGTATCTATAGGCTGCTACTGGTGTGGTGCTGTAGAACGAGCATTGGACCTTGAATCAAAACAACGTAGGCATTTAAACTTACTAACTGCTCCTCGCTGTGAGGCAGTACTGACTTAATGGCACTTAATAAAACAACAACAAAATATGTATACATTCACAAAATAATTTAAAAAGGATATTTACAGATAGACTTGCTGGCAACTTACCAGAAAGGTGGACTTACCAGAATAGTGGTGACAATCAGCGTTCTGTTTGCTAGTGAATCAGTGATATTGTTGGACTTATCTTTGTTGCCATCTGTCATGTTTAGCCCGCTATTGGAGTTCCAAATTCCAATCTACACAGAACACAATACATCAGAGACTGCTGGTTGCCAGGGACAGCATTTATGACAAAGAGAGACCCCTTTTACACATGAATGGTCATAGAAACTCCCAGTCTGGGAAGAAAACACCAGGACACCACAGTGGATGCTACTAAATGTGGAAAACAATGAAGGGATGAAGATAAAGGTGGATGTGGAAAATCTGCGCTATTCAGCATGAGGTGAGGTACAGTGGAGTAAGAAGTCTTTTTGTTTCATTTATTAATCTAATTGTTCTTAATTGAGTATAAAATGCTTTTTCAATGTGTGTATTTTGAATACTTGGTACCAGAAGCTATTCTAGTCATTAGGGAATATAGTAATGAATAAACAGACAAAAGTTCTTGCCCTTGCAGAGTTTCCATTCTATTAAAACTCACTGTCAGGGATAGCATTGTTATTGTTGTTAAGTGCAGTCTAGTAGATTCTGACTCATAGCAACCCTGTATAGGGTTTACAAGGAGTGGCTGGTGAGCTTGAACCATAGACCTCGCAGTTCAAATCGACCTTACAGTCCAGTGCATTAACCCGCAGCACCACACCAGGACTCCAAATCTTAAAAAGAATGAGATTACAAAAGAGGATGTAGAGACTGGTTATTAGAAATGGAAACAACGGAGGGAAGAAAAAGTTATGAGCAGTAGATTAAGTAGTTTAGTGCTGGGTGAAAGATGTGGGTCTTAATAGGACTCTGTCTATACCTGTCATGGTATCCAGCATCCTCTGACGTCATATGTTTGCCTGTATTGTCTGTTATCTTGACCAATAACCTTTCAGTAAGTGTACTTTTCTTTTATTAGTCATTGATCTTTCTATTATACAAATCAGCCATGGTAATTGGCATTCAGTAAAGTTCATTTGTCTTTTAAAAAAGGATGACCCACAATTTTCTTCAGCGGCCAACTCAATTCTGAGTGATTTGTCCCTGTAGATATAAGCTGACTTATTTAGACCCTGAAAGAACCGAAGAGAAGAGCCCTTGATAACTGAGCTATTTTTCTGAAGCATTTGTTTTGGGGTTTACTACCAGGCTAATGAGATGATGCTTCATAACCAGGCAGACCTGTTTGCTGTATGCCTTTTGACAAGATGCTAACCATACTGAGCTTTGGTTCTTCAACTGTAAATAATGTTATCAGGATACCAAGAATATCAATAAGGTAATGTATGTGTAACTATTTGTATATGCTAAGAGCTACACAAATATTCAGTAATAATGGAAAAAATTTACATGAGTGTCCCAGTAATTGTATTCTTCAAGTTTACTCTATTATAAAGGGACTTGGAATCATTAATTACTACTGTTTTGTTTTTTATTTAGAAGCTGATAAAGTAAAGAAGTTATGAAACATAGGGGTAGGCTAATGACACTAACCCTATTGGTGCAACAGTTAAGCACTTATTGCTAACTAAAGGGTTGGAGCTTAACCAGCAGCTCCATAGGAGAAAAGAACTGATGTTCAGCTCCTATAAAGATAGCAGCCTGGAAAAACCCTCAGGGAAGTTCTACTCTGTCACATGGAACCCTATGAATTGAATATTGACGGCACCCAGAAATAACAATAACCCTTGGGCAGACTCTGTGATGGACTGACTGCATTTATAATAATATTTGTTCCCTAAATTTATTCTCTCAAATAAAGAGTATTTGATGATCTGGATAGAATATGAGTTTTGCAAACAGACTTTTGTTCAGACCACAGTGTGACCTTGGGTAGATTATTTAACCCTGCTGTGCCTCAATTTTCTTATTAGCATAATGAAGACAATAGGGTTTTTCTGATGATTAAACACATTCTCACATGTAGAAATGTTAGGTCCTTTCTTTCTTCCTTTCCTCTTTTTTTTTTAATGTTGATTTACTGTCTACATTCAACAGCTAGAAATTCATTTAGGTTGACAAGTCTTTTTTTCTTTTTAAGAGATGTAATTGCTTTCAGGAAATACCAAAGGCTGGCAGTTCAAAACGACCGATCAGCTGTTCCAGGGAAGAAAGATGAGGATTTCTGCTCTTGTAAAGATTTACAGCCTCAGAAACCCTGTACAGTGTTGCTATGAGTTGGAACTGACTCCACAGCACAACACCACCACCACCATCGGTTTGAACTGCATGGTCGGCAGTTCAAACTCACCAGCCACTTCTTGGAAACCCTATACAGGGTTGCTATAAGTTGGGATCAACTCTATGGCACTTAGCAACAACAACAACAATCACACATTTATACATTATTGTAAGCTATTTTAATTTCACTGCTTTCTTTCTACCCTTAATTAGGGTTAGTTGAGAACATGGATTGGAGAATTAATGTGATGGATCTAGGCTGAATGCCTTATATGCCTGGATGGGGATTTAGGAATACTTTATGCATTTCAAGTGTTGTGATTCTGTCTAAAGAGAGGGTTCTAGAGGTGGGATATAGAACAGCACCCTAAATAGCATTAGTATTTCCAAGACTTCAGATGATGTCATTCATGTAGAGTGTACAGGATACATTGTTGGTTTAAGAATCTCCAGTTTTCTTCTGTTGCTTTTTTTTTTCCAAGAAAGAGAGATTACATTTGCTTCTCTCTCTTCTCAATTTCCAACATCTCTCCCACTTTTCTCAGGCAGGGATTTTTGCTTCCAGGAAACATAACTCACCTAGAATCCTATTGGTTTTCATGCAAAGCTATCCTTTAGGTTGTAAACAACTGACCTTCAAGTCTATGAAAACTGTGCATGAAGTGGACCCAGTTTACTTCTAATTAAACTTTGACATAGGTAGTAGGGAGAATGGAGTCTAATTTTTAATTAAGTACTGAAGGGTGAAGAAAATAGTTGTTTTCATCCAATTTATGAAGTAATGGGATATAGTCTCTTTTTCTCTTATTTCTATTAACTTTTAATGTTGAGTGTGTGTTTAAAGATACTATACTAATATTTTTAATTGGCAGTGTTGAACAGTCTCATCATAGCATATTCTTCAAAGATACACACTTGAAAGTATAGACAAATATGCCCCACATTTGATCATCTAACTTTTATTTCTATTATCCCACTAAAATTGCAGAAGGTAAGAGAGCATTTCTGCTGCGTTTCCAATCAACTAAGTCACAGAGCTTAGTTCATTATGAATTTTACACCATAAAATAAGAAAAAGAAGAACATTTATTTGACTATCTGCATAATAGAATTCCTTTATTTCTAGACTAAAAGTATGTCAAAATAAAGCTAATGCTATTTCTGGTAAGTGGACATCCATTTCAATCATGCCAGCCTTCAGTTTTCAAGGTTCATTATAAGAAAACAGAAGAGTAGTTTGTATTTAGTATAGTCAACTAGCTTTACCTGCTAACTGAGGTAAATAAGTATGTTGTCAGCAGGTGAAGCTAATGACCTTGTAACTTGTGTGTGTTGGGAGGAGGGGTGCAGTTAACCAGATGACTAGACACATAGTATTTCAGTATTGTTTTATGACCTTGCAGGAGTGCCTCCAGGAGACAGAACTTCAATTTTCAAACCATATAGCTAGAGAAGACAGCTACTGTTTACCAGTGAGAAGTGGTGGAGGGTGGATCAATTATTTGTAGGGAGAAAGACTCAACAGCTAAATTGTCTGGTTCTGCCTTCTTTCAGTTTGTATGATGTCATAAAGGAACAGCCATTTTTTACTTAGGACAACTTAAACATTTGGAAATGATTGTCCAAATGACATTAGGCAAACTTTGAAACAAAGTGATATAATGAAAAGATGTTCAGAAAGTGACTAATGTCTACTTCCAAATCTAGCAAAGATACAATTCACATATACTCAGCATCCAAAATTGCTGGGTAAACATCTAGGAAGAAAAACATCTATTTTCCCACTCGTGAGTCTTATTAACACATATTTTATTGAAGGGTTTTGTAAAGATTGCTACGCCCTTTTTTGGAAAGAATTTTAGGTGATCTATTTTATACTAAGGAAGGAACCCTGGTAGCACAGTAAGTTGGACTGCTTAATGCAAGGTCAATGGTTCAAGCACAAGCCTTCCATAGGAGTAAGATGAGGCTGTCTGCTGTGTAAAGATTTGCAGTCTTGGAAACCCTATATAGGGTCTCTAGGAGTGAGAGTCTATTCCATAGGTGTGGGTTTGGTTTTGATACTCTATATTAAGGAGTCTCTGATGATGCAAATGATTAGCATACTCAGCTCCTAACTAAAAGATTGCACACCCAGAGGTGCTTTGGAAGAAAGGCTTTATGATCTATGTGCTTACAAGAAAATTACTCATTAAAAACCCTGGCACACAAGGAGTCTCCTTGAGTCAAAATCGGCTTGATAGCAACTAATCATCGTTGTGATTATTTGTTTTTTCTACTATATTCTAAAAATTTGAGATTGCTGAGGAGAACTTTTCAGGATTTAAATGTGTGTGTGTGTGTGTGTGTGTGTGTGTGTGTAGGTGGGGAGGCAGGAATCCTTCTCTTTTAAGATAAAATCTTCATAGGAAAAGTACTATGCTAGGCCTGGATTGCCTTGTGTGCTAGCAGTTTGGTTACTCTATATGGCTGATGAAGAGCTTATAAGATGAAATGACACACCATGGTATATACAAGTAAGAAATGGTGGTTCATTAGGAAGGAAAGAGGTAGAGACAGAAACAGCAAGGAAGAAGAAGAGTAAGATTTACATCCATGGGAAATGGGGATGGATTATTGCAGTTTAGTGACAAATAAAGGACATTCTCATCCCGCAAGGTATAATTTCCAAGCTCAGGTTCCATCCCTCAGGTATTTTGTTTGAATTAATTCAATTCTGTCTAAAGTGCCTGGAGTCTCAAGTTGGATTAGCATAATTACATTCTTCCTGGGTTTCATTTAGGTTTATCTATTCGTGGAAAGTGAGAAGATTGGCATCACCATCCATATGTCAATAGTAACCTGATTCACTGAATTATTAATCCCCTCTTGTTGGTACTCTTTTTTGTTGTTGTCTTGTTATTTTATTTTT